CACCTTTGCCTCCACCTTTGTCTGCGGCTCCTCCTTTGGCTCTACCTTTGCCTTTGGCACCGCCTTTGGCTCTGCTTTTGGCTCTGCCTTTGGCTCCGCCTTTGGCACCGCCTTTGGCTCTGCCTTTGGCTCTGCCTTTGGCTCTGCCTTTGGCTCCACCTTTGCCTCCACCTTTGGCTTTGTCACTGCCTTTGGCTCCGCCTTTGGCTCCGCCTTTGGCACCGCAGTTGGCACTGCTTTTGGCTCTCCGACAGCATCCTTTGGTTGTTTTGAAGCATCTGCTCCGGCTTCCTTCCCGTCCATTCTTTCCAATTCACCTGTCGCGATTGTTTTGCCTTCTGCTGCCATATGCTTTGCCACTTGCTCTGCCATCTCCTCGACCATTTGCTCCTTGGAGGCCCATGATCTAACAACTCTGTCCACATTTCCCAAGAGATTCCCCCCCTCACGGACAAGCCACGAAGGTGAGCATCTGGCAAGAGGCTACAGGGTTGACTCCCGTGTCCTTGCACGAAACCCAAGACTCCCACTGAAGCTTACATCAACATGTCAGGTACATATCAGGCATGTGACATAGCAGCAGCTTGTGGCCAATGGCATCCAAGAGTCATTCAGAACAAGATCAATGAAGTCATCTGCGGAACGGAGTTGAAGGACTGTATCCTAGCACGGACGAGAATCTGAGACAAGTCACGAGAACATACACCTCTCTCTCTGTCACCTTCGCTGTGCAGAACTCCTCACAAAAGGTTTGTGAACATCGTGAACCATGCCGCCTTGCACAGCGCTTCATTCACGTGCTGCGGGGCCAACACCATGGCACTCTGTGCCTCGTCGTCGCTCCAACTGGGTGGATTCTTGTGAAAACCATTCCAAGTGCAGTTTCTTCTGTTTGCTTTCTTCTTCATGACTTGCCGCCAGAAAGGATGACAAGGCACCAGCAACACCAGCGTCATCTCGCCATCCGACAGAGGCACCATGGGTGCTGGGTCGGATGCACTGCCTCCAAAGCGCTGATCCTGGGAGTTCAAGACCTCAAAGAAAACAGCAACTGCAAACGAAAAAGCGAGGACCTCCGGGACTCCGTGCATGTCAAGAATCCGAGACTCCGAGCTATGAAACATGTCGAACAAATAGTTTGCTCATCGAACGTTCAACTCTCGTGCCAGAACAAAAACTTCAATATACTTGGATACTTGGATCTCGGCACACTTGAAGTTGCAGGTGACGCCTGCCAACCAGAATGTGTGCAATCGGATCTCTCTGCAAGTGCTTTGGTGATTGTCTGCCAGGTGGAGCAAACGCCAAAGACCGGTTCAAAGTACAGTGGTCTTTGCGGTTTTTGAGTCGGACGCGTCAGCCGGCCTTTCAACCGGGGAATGTTGAAGCTGAGGCTTGAGAGCTTTGCTGAGCTGAAATTGAAAGCAAAAATGCTGCAGCCACGACTGAAAATCAAGACTTGCTTCTTCTCATCCTGCGATGGCTGTGGGATGCTGTGGAGGTACGAGTTAGCAGTCAATAGATTTAAAGGCATCTAGCTGCTAGAGTTAAAAGCATTTATGGTCAATATATGGTGTTGAAAGGGGTGTTGAAGTTCTGTCTTGCCCTCACGACTTTGAAGTCCTCACTCCAAGAATGTAAGGTCAGTCCTTCAGGAGGACATCTGGGATAGGATCTCTAAGCCATTGAAGGCAGCGCTCTGTTCGAATGAGGCACATTTGGAACATGGCCAAAAGCTTGTGCTTTCCAGTCTTGTCCTGAGCCCGGCATGTTGCATTTAACATGTTCCGTTGCAAAAGCCAGTGGAAGGTCTGAAACTGGGCAACTGGCCTCGGCCAGCTCAACAGGTATTCTTGCTTGCTTGTCGCTGAAGTCGTTCCCTTTTCTTGGGTAGTCAACTCTTCCTCAGTTTTTTCTCAACCTGTGTTGGGTACTGATTACGCAAAATCCTTTGCTTGCACGTTTCATCATGTCTCCAGCCAAGGTGTTTCACCAAAAATGCGTTTCAACATCATCAATGCTTCATGTCTGTAGTCGCAACTGAGTTCGGCAACTGGAAGCAGTTGGAGGCCACCACCGCTACTAGGTTGGAGGCCATTGCTACTAGGTTGGAGGCCATTGCTACTAGTTTGGAGGCCATCTCTACTAAGCTAGGTCGGAGGCCATCGCTACTAGGTTGGAGGCCATTGCTATTAGGTTGGAGGCCATTATTGGCAGAACACCCACCACCGGAGATTGCCAAGGCACCTTGCCAACCAAAGTCGCTGCCCAAACAGCTAAGAGTTGCATCACCACCAAAGGCAACAGATAGAAGGCCTGGTTTGAGCACAAATCTGAGCACATACTTGGCATGTGGCCCAAACATGGGTACCAAAGCACCAAACATTTACAGCAGGCAAAACTTTATATATGTGTCTTTCATGCCAAGCCATCCAATTTTGGTTGACAATGATTCCCATCCATACCCGTGTGTGATGTCAAAACTGCCATCACTAGGAAAGGTCGTTCATCATGCTCACTTCGCCAGCGCACCAAATGTGAAACACCCACCAGCTCATGGGTTCAGGTTGGTCAGCTCTCCGATTTTGGGATCACTCCATGCTAGTAGCTTCTTGCTCCTAGTAGTACGGCCAGGAGCCCCTAGTAGCATCCTTGCTCCTAGTAGCGATGTCAGGAGCCCCTAGTAGCTTCTTGCTCCGTTCGTAGCGCTCCATGGCTGCAGAGATGGCACCAACTATGACACCAGTTGCAGCCAAGCCGCGGCAGAGTCGCAGGAGCCACGCAGCATCAGCACCCAGGGCGGCGGCCAGCGGACGACGGCGAACCAGGGCACGAGGAGCCTCCTGAAAAGCGAGATGCAAGCATACTCAGAGCGTACCGCCACAGAATTTCACCAATCAAATGGAGGATTGAGGGTACATTCAATGAATATCATCAACTGTCCACAAATATCATCAGTTGTCTGCTGCTTCCCCTGAAACGACCCCCTTGCTGTGCGCTCCCCATGGTGTGTTTTTTGAAGCTAACAGAGTCACAATACTGCCAATTTATACCGATGGTTCAATCATCATGAAATCTTGTCCAAGCATGCAGTAGCAAAGTTCAGCTCGCGATCCGATTTAGAGCTCAGTCCTGCAAGCCCAGCATGTCAATGTAGAACTGCTCTGTCCGTTTTGCAATAGTGTCCCACAGAAAGCTTTGTTGAACTTGCTCCCAACCTTGTTGACCCATCCAACCTTAGTTTTCAGATATCACTGTACCAATGAGTACCCTTGGACAATCGCAACTGAGAAATACCGAAATAGCAAACGGTTTGCCCATCACTCCGATTCCTAGCTGACATGGTTGCCAAGCGGCAAGCATGTTCTCGGTTCTCACAGATTTTGCACAGGCCCCAAGCCAAGCTTCCCGACTCCTGATAACAATGCTTTGCGGCATCACAGTTGGATGAGTGTTGAATCAAACATGCGTTCTCCTGGTCCGCTGTGTAGCCTGTGGCATCTGGTTTGATCAGGTGTCGCAGCTCGCCCGTGGCACTGCCGACAACAGGCCTAATAGCAAAGTTGGGTATGCGCGAGGCCGGTTTCGGCGGCAAAGTGCAAATGTTTCATTTGGACAACTCAACTCAACCTTTCCGCCAAACCATGCTAAAGCCCTATGCAACCATAACCCACACTATGAAATGAAGATACAATGATACATGAATATTGATTGAATATGTTTGAGCAATCTCCGGCCTCGCTGCCGCCCAGCTTTCAATCACATCAACACCATAGAGATCCTGCCGAGATGGCACCGCAACCTCAGCAGGATCGCTACACCAACCAGCAGTCCCAGGAGTCCTAGGAGGCCTAGGTGTTTATGAGACCCTGTTAAGGATTGCTTAGGGACCTTTACTGTTCGTTGAGTTTACGCGTTGCTGTTTACATTCCATCTTCAGATCTTAAGTTCGCTCTCAAAGTTGAAGGGGGAGCCGATGCTGCATGCGAGCAACGGCATCACAGGCTTCTAAGTATCTGCGCTTCTCTTCCCCTTCGCACTTGCAGGCCTGGCCAAGCTATCCGAGTTTTGCACAAGGAAGGGGATGCTATGGTTGCAGCATGGAACCGATCGACTGCATTTGGAGCCGAAAACACACGAAACCGGACAAGTCGTTGTTCTTCGTCCGAGTCAACCCTACCCAGTCACTGGTCCTTGAAGGTGACGGCCTTTCCAACGCCCATCTCTTCAATACGCCGTTCAAGGCTACCACGGAGGTGCCCAGTGCCTTAACTTCATTCATGCCTAATAGCAATGGCCTCCACCCTAGTAGCGATGGCCTCCAACCTACGAGCGGCAACTGTGGCAAATCCACTACGACGGCTGTGCAAACAGAAGACCGACGATGACAAAGTGGGCATCATGCCAGTGCTGGAGGACGAAAGGAATGGCCTGAGCAGAAAGAACACCGCAAATGGCAACGGCCCTGCCTTTATTATACACTTTATCAAGACTACTAAGACTAGAGAGAGCTTCTGAAGTTATCATGACCGCAAATGGCCTGTGCAAATCAAATGGCAACTGAAGGAATCAGCTGAAAGCCATGGCTGGTGCTTCCCTTTGACGTGTTTATGCTACTGTCGGTGCCTCTACGAGAAGGTCGACTCCTTTGTGAGGCAACAAACGGCCCGTGTAAAGAATCACCTCGGATTGTCACAGAAAACACTGTCGGCTAGCAGCGGGCAACAGGGAAATAGAGAGAGACAGGCTTTCAGCACCTATTCAATAAGCAGTTGAATAAGCTATTTTGCTGGATACGTTTCTTTCTCTGGCTATCTTGTCACCAAGATGCAGGTGAGTCTGCTGGAAGTCCCAAGGACTCTCTGGCTTCCTTCTGAGCATCTTTGGATGGCTTCTTGTGGGCAACAGCACCTCGCTCGATGGTGAGAAGCTCTTGAATTCAGGACCCTGCATGCTATATCATATAGAATTGCACAAGAAGTCGAGGACAAAGGCTTTCCGCGGTGTTCCTACCTTTTAGCCAAGCTGCCATTGTGCATGATAGGGATGTCTTTCCCTTCTAGTCCATATTGGCAATACATGCTCTCACCTCGGTGCCCGACTCCCTCATTCTGAGTCGCTTCAAATGCTGGCTCTGTCCAACATCATGCTGGTGTTGGTCATCCTTACATATATATATATATACACACCTTTTTTGCACGGTATATGCCTCCAAACTTGGCAGCTGACAAGTTCAGCGATGCTAAATATGCACAAATATGTGACGTTCACACAGTACGCCATCATGTTTATTCTCTTTCAATCAATCTTGGCTGTTTGGCCTGTGCTCCCTGTGCTATTTGTAAGCAACAGCACCTGCCAAGCTAAAAGCGGCCAATTATGCTGGCGTGCTCCAACAGTGCAATCTGTAGAGAAGAAACTTCGGTCCCAGCAAGTCAGGAATTGCCAAACAAATTGACCTCTGGCCTCAAAGCTTTACAAGTGCTTCAGAAACTCCTCGCACAATCTGCCAAGTCCGGAGGGGTATTCCCTCCGTTCAAACGATGGGCTCTAGGACCGAAAAACCTTCGTGCACCGCGACTGAATTTCATTGCATGGCCAAACTGCTATCTGAGCCCCTCAGAGTTCTTTGAAATCTTCAACGGAATCTTCCACATCTCCCCATTCAGCCTCAACTTTAGTTGCCCTGAGTTGGCTGCCTTTTTGAACAAACCATGGCTTGGAATCCATGGTCCCTTGTCTGGATCTGCGCAACCTTGGAGTTCTTTTGAACTTCTCTTCCAGCAAAGATCCGGGAAGTCGCAAGCATTGAGAATAGTGCTCATTGCCCCAGACACAGGTCAGGCCCTCAACGCAACAGTTGAAGCCAGACCAGCCTTTTCCACCACACTGTTGCCAAATCTGCGCACATGAGGCAACATGAACATCATCTACCAGGCATTGTGAGTATGAGGCGTCCTTAGGCTCGCACTTCAGCCCGGACGCACAACATGTACTTCCCATGAAGGTTTCCCCGCCACATTGGTCATGAAGCTGACCACATGAGCTCGTAATTGGATTGCTCGTAGATGGAGTTGTTCCGCCCACATAGCGAAGGCAAACATAACCTGATAGTTCAGCACTTGCACCAATGCCACCTGGACGCGTCCAGATTTCACATCTTTTCCCAATGTACTCAATCCCTTTGCAATCACTGGTGGAGATGCAAATCTGCTTGCACTCATCAAGGGAACTCACGGATGCCAATGTAAAGTAACTCTCATTATTGTCCGTCAAGGAGCTTCCCCGGCACACTCTGTCAACTCCTCCATCCACGGCTTCAAAGTCTGCCGAAGTTGTCATGGTCGTCGTGGTCGTGGTCGTTGTTGTGGTCGTCGTGGTCGTGATCGTGATCTCTTTCCACGTGGCACCGCAAACTGTCTCACAATTGTGCCTGGACTCATCACAGTATTCATTACCAGGGCATGGGCCATCATCCCAAGTGCAGCATCCTGCCCCAAAAACTCCAGGGACAAAGCCCAAAAGCAAAAGGCAACCTACCGTCGCAGCTGACATGCTTGGATAAAGTAAGATGATAGGCAGCGGAACTCTGATGTGTTTTTGATTGCGGCAAACGGCTACTTGAGGCATCATGCGAAGCGGAAAAGGAAAAAGTGAGGACAACGCACAAAAACGTGGGAATTTGTTTCCCAAAACGGTTCCCTTTTCAACATCTCATTCAAACGCTGGTGCCACATCAGGAATTCTTCAAGTGGTTTCCCCCACCTGCTCTCCAAAGATGATATCATGACCGCAAAGGCCAATAGAACATCCCAATCGCACTATTTTCGGTGGATGTTGGACTTCGCTGTGCTTGCTGTTGTCGTCATCCCGTCGTCGTCGTCATCGTCGTCGCTGTCGTCGAAATAAGCGTATTTCAGTATACACTATGTATATATATATATATATCTATATATCTAACCTGAGAAGGGAGGGGACGAAAGACAGCCTCCGCCAGAAGACATCAATGTGGTTATGGGGTGAATTCGACAGTGCACTGCAGCTGCTGTCAGGCATAGGGAAATCGAAGAAGGCAGAGAGGCGGAAAGTCTCACATTGAGGGCCGGTATGGTAGGCTCTTTATGCACAAGGTTTTGATCAAAGCCCATTAGCGGTTATAGGATAGAAGTGGGGCCCATGCGTTAGGAGAAAGGTTGGGTTGAGCAGGACATTAACAGTCCGGGGATAAAGGTTGAGTTGAGCTGGACATTCACAGGTCGGGGGGTGTAAGAGTGACTAAGGCGTACCCTGTAGAAGGATAGACCGTTAGTGTCTTTTACACGCGGAATGCAGTCTCCCTTGAGCCTAGCGAGTCATACAACGATATGAAAAGCACCATGGATATGGAAGTGCCATCTGTACAGGTCCTACATTTCAGCAGGCACAATTCATAAAACACTTCCACCATGGAGCGCCAGGGTATAATCTATTTCCTGCTGGATGTGCCCAAAATATTGGTAAATTCAACCTGGAAGAATGTGCAACATGTTTCCTCACTAAGACATGCTAAAGATTTATTGCATAACGATGCTTTAAAAACATAAAGAGAACTCATATGTACAACAAATACAACATCAAAATTGATGCTTATTTCATTGACAATAATGAAACTCAAAAAATCCAGTTTGTCAAGTTCAATGCCTTTGCAACATTCAAGAAAATGACAAATGGGATATTGAAGAACAACACAGGATGTTGGTTTGAAACTTCATAATGACATCAAATACTACTACAGCAACCTATGGAAAGGACATGTTGACTCTGACCTACCCACTACAAGACCAATCAGCAGTGTTAATGAAAAAAGAACGCACATATATCAATGAATATGAAACAAAACTTACAAAAGAATTGTAGAAACAAACACATTTACTAATTATTACATAAGCAAATGGTAAAATGACTGCATAATACACAATGTGAATTTTATGGAAAGGAAACAGAATAGCAAAATTGGGAAACTATAGTGTGATATCATGAAATATATAAGTACAGTAAATCAAGGACACTGGGCTGGCTGCAATGAGGACTTGAGGACTTTTGGACATATGTGGTGTCCAGTACTTAGCCAGTTGATAGCCGGCTAGAGCTGCACTGTCTTTCAAACGAGGGAGAGAAACATAGAAAGATCCAAGAACCATTTTCCACCACCGGTGAAGTGGTTTTTCGGCTGGGCATTCGGTCCACACGGGGTGCCGGTCCGAGGTTCCCGGCGGACCGTCTCTGACGACGCAAAGAGCTGACCGATGGACCGGAAGGCCTCTCCTTCCAGCTCAACGACTTGACTGCTTTGTCCACCTTCCGAGGTGACGAGACACACTCAGGTGACGATTCACAAGTAGAGGGGCTAGGCCTAGAACAAACTGGCATCATAAGCACGGTCTCCCTTGTACTGTCATCGTTCAGAAACACATCTGCATCAAGTGTTCACTCGTCACTGAGTCACCGGCCGAATTCCGCACCAGCTGATCGCGCTTCCTCTGTCGAGTGCGCTGTCAGAATGAAGTGCAAGTCCTTTCGCAACTCGCTACGGGCTCGTGCCACCAACCTCGGCCGAAAAAGCCATCCAAGCAGCAAGCAGCCATATGGCCGTATCCGGACAAAGCGACGGGTTGCCAACAACAATTACAGGTTCGCCTTTGTGAAGGATCGATTGCAACAAGCAACTAAAATTGTCATTCAACAGTGTCCAACAATAGAGGGTCTTCAGCGGTTTTGGTTTGCCTCGTCCAGTTTTTTCAAGCCGGTCTAGAAATCATGTCAGGCAGCCATTCGTGACCATGCGCCACGTCAAAGTGACCAAAGGCCGCTTCACGCTGGTTGATGGCCTCTGCCAAAGCCTTGCAAAAGTTCCCCGTTTCCTCCACAAAATCCATGCTCAGCGTGTAAGGCACCTTGGTCATCGGGGAACCCATTGCTCGCCTCTCTCCGGGCGTCATTCTTGCAACACCCCAAAAAAACACACACACATATTCAAAATAAAAAACAAACAAAGTATTTTGTGTCGATCGTAGTGAGTATGCACTGTTGACAGGATTGAAGAAGCAAGTACTGTAGTACTGCATATGTTGAACATGTTCCTTCCCAAATGTCGTGAAGCGAAAAGGCTATCTATGTTTTTCTAAGTGTTCCATTAGTGTTCCTTTATGACTTTACGCAACCTCGTGGTAGACCACTCCATTCACCGTCTCCACATTGATCTTCAAGCCATGGCTGGCGCGGGTGAAGACATGCACCTCATGGCCCCGGCGCACGAAGGCTTCAGCAAGGCCTGTCACGTAAGGAGCTGCAGCACCGGCGGAGACGGTGTAGAGGGTCTCCCATGACAGCATGCAGATCGAGAGCCTCAAAGCGTCTTTTCTAGAAAAGGAACCCAGAAATCATGCAACCAAAAAAGCTACAGGCCTGCTGCATGCTGCTATGCAGTGCTAAATGCTAGCTAAATTCTCAATGTTGTCTTGAAATGGATGCCAACAACTATCAACAAATGAACACTTCGAAGCACGAATCAACGCTGCGCTGTTGAAGTGTACTCAATACGGCCATGTCACGGGCTTTGGCTCACGATGAACTCCTGCATGGATTCCATGAAGGTCAGCAACTGGCTTCGCCCCTTTGCCTTCAAGGGCTCTGTCAAGGCATCTACTAGGTTTTGCACAAGGGTCACCTTGGCAAATCATGACGTCCAAAGGACGGAAATTCAAAAGCGATGATGTCCGCAAATTTGAGTAACATCTTACTGTAACATGCCAAACTGCACAAAGTCTCCCTTGATCTCCCTGGAAGCCTGATTGCAGCCTAGACTCCTTGCTTCTGGGGCCGCAGGACGCTTGATCCAAACAACATGATCCTGGAACCAGTCGACTTAAATCTAAGCCGTTGCATGGTTGCCACAGATCAAAGCCAAAACCTCCCTTGTCTTGACTGTCCTGAGCTGACAGAGGGGAGAAACCGTGAAAGCATCAACACGAATCAAATGAGATGCGATACCAAATTTTGCCTCGCGAGTAAGGTCATAGGTGGTCCCCAGTGGTCGTGCTGACATCATATGCTTTCTGTGTTTTCATACAAGTGTCCCTTGCTCCGTTTCCGTGAAGCTTCGAGAAGCCGTGAAGTTTCGAGATGTTTCACACAATGTTTCACGTGTCTCATGAGTTCTGACTCTCTGAGGCCGCTTCGCAGAGGCCATCCTCCAAAGCGCCCATGCCAATGGACACCACATCCTTTGAAGAGCTCTGGGCAGCTGAGTGCACCAAGTCATTCGCAATCATCACAAAATCATCTGCCGGAGACGACTCATCCGAGAGCGCAGCACCAGGAAGACCCTCCTGATGAGTCGAGTGGGGACGGTACAGCATGTTCGTCAGATCGATTCCAATGGAGTGACTGGTTCGTGGCTCAAGAACTCCCCCAAGTGGAAGCATTGCAGCAACTGGTACAAACACTCCGGAGTGAGAATGTTATGGTTCACATGCGTTCACTGTTCACTTATCTAAGGATAGCCAAGGCATCCGGGGGACGCGCTTTTGCGGCCAAGCATCCAATCGAAAACCATCCACCCCAGCCTCAACCCAATGCCTTGAGCGCAGCAGTGCAGGAAAGAGAAGAACTAAAGAAAGGACCAACACCAGTCATGCGGTAGTGTTTCTGACGCTGCGGCAAACACTTTGGCATCGTGATATGCCTGGCCTCTCTGTTCTGGAACCTCAAAACCAAGCCAAGGTGCTGCAGGCAGTAGAGCAAATATTGAGCCACTTCTTTGCGGCCAAAGTCGAACTTCTGCATCGTTTCACGCTGATTGGTGAAAAAGTAGCTTGGTAAGTAGGATTTGCCAGCTATAGCTCGAGATGGGACTTCCAAAAACACAGCAAGACTCCGATCATGGGCATATTGTAGAAATGCTGCAAAATCTCCAGCATCCTTCAAAGCAGGAGTTGCTGCCAGCAAGCTGCTCGTTGCTCTGACGCCTGCATGAAAAAGGCCCACTATTACAACTCCATGGTAACCCGAATGTGTGGCCCTGGCCAGGATAGTCCTTGCAAACTTGAGACTGGATTTCTCATCTTTCTGCGATACCAAGGTAATGTCAAACTCCAGCAAATGCAGCTTTTTACCTTTCAAGCTCAAAGGTTTATCGTGAAAGTCCTTCCTTGATGGCCCTCTGCTGATGCTTGTGGGCCAAACCACAGCGTTCACAGCTTGCGACTTGGTGTTTACAGCATACCGAATGGCCCAGAGAGGCATCATTTCTTTGGGTTCCCCTTCGGCTGGTACCACGTGCAACCGGTACTGGCTACCTTTGGTCATGGCTGCATTTAGGGGTGAACCAATGAAGCAAGACCAAATATCAGCAGTTTTTTCGTCCTTCCTCAAAGGAGTCGCAGTCTCTTTCCAGCCATTGAAGTCCCCCACCAAGGAGACATAAGTTGCATTTGGTATCCAGTCCCTAAACATCCATCCACCATTGCAGTGGTGTAAGCCGAAGTCCTTAAAGATCTTGGCCAAATCATCTAGACTGCCTGAGCAATCCGAAATACACACGGTACGGCTAATCGAGAACACTCGATCAAATGACATTCCTACTGATAGATAGACAATAGAAATACAATACGGATCTGATACCATGATTGTGCAAGGTCCAATGTGTAAAACGAAAAACAAACTCATTGCACTCATAGCTGCCCATTTTGGCTTGTGTCGCTTTGTAGCTCTTCAACCGTGCAGATGTTCGGCTCTGGAAATCAATGTTCTTCGGTTCAAAGTTGCTGACCGATCTTTCCGGTTCGATGGCCGCACTCTTTGGAGTGGCTGCACCCTTTGGAGTGGCTGCACCCTTTGGAGTGGCCACACTTCTTGGGGTGGCCGCAGTCTTCGGTGTGACTGCGGACGACACAGAGGGCGTCTTCTTTGGACTGGGCATCTCCTCCAAGAGTTGTGAGATCGAGGGTCCTAGGACCATCGCATCAGGGTAGACCAGGCCAGCATCAAAGGATGGATCGAAGTATTGCTCTTGGGCAGTGCTCAACGATGGCACGCTAGACCGCTCCTTGCTCAATTTGGCTGCTCTAAAGGGTCGCTGAGGAAGATCAGCTTCCAAAAAGCCTCTGGAGTAGACCGTGTAGTCGCCTGGAAAATAGATATGAAACATGCCATCCGGATTCACCCGGCTACTCAGCAAAGTGGCTCCCGTGGGCCCCATGAGAGCAAAGGTTGCATCGAAATACATTTGGAGCTTCACACAAGCATCCAGGTCGAAGCGGAAGTATTTCAAATACTTCTTGCCACCATCACAAATTTGCAGAGCAAGATTCACATCTGAAGGGTCCAGAATGTTGTTCTCCTACGGCGAGACGAATCGGCACACAGTGCATTCGTTCGCCGGTTTTTCTGTCTGAGTTTCACGTGCCGGACCGTGCCGGACTAGCATTCACAACGGAAGAGTCAAGGGCCATGGAAAAGTTCTTCCAATGTTGGCAAAAGACTTTCCAACTCAGCAAGGCACCTTGCTACTAGTAGCGTCCTTGCTACTAGTAGCAATGCCCTTGTTACTAGCAGCGTCCTAGCACCTCACAGCCTACGTAGACTTCGGTAAAACACTGATGTGAGTGACGGTCCAGCTCTAGTGACGGTCGCTAAATGGAGCCCCTAGTAGCGTCCTTGCTCCGTTCGTAGCGATGCCCTTTGCTCCTAGTAGCTTCTTGTTCCTAGTAGTACGGCCAGGAGCTACTAGTAGCGTCTTACCTAGTAGTGACGGTCGCTAAATGGATCCGGTGAAGAAGCTCCTGAAGAAGCTTGGCATCGAGCCACACACGAATGCCTCCTTCTAAGAGATCTGCTGGTGCCAGGACTTGTGCTGTGCGGCATGGCAGGTACAAGTAGCAGGACGATGGCCTTGAGAAATGCCGATCTAAAAAAAAATCAGCGCTCCGGTTGCCCACAGCAGTAGAGTAGTGAAATGGAGTTAACTAACCTTATGCCTTCAAATTCAAACTATGGAAATGTCCAAGCCTGCCAACACAGATCAACTAGCGTGCGCTTTCAGATCAATCCCAGTGACCGGTTGTGTGTCGGCCCACCCTTGGGGAGCTTGCCATGACCTTCTTCCAGTCGGCATTGGCCACCAAACCGTTCCTGCACCCACAAATGCACTCATGACCCCAGGATGGACAGAACATGGTTCTCCGATGCTTTCCAAGTTCAAAAGGCCTTTCATGCTTCACAAACCCTCATCTATTCGGAACAAGTTAGACATCTCACAACCCAACAAATTGTCGCTCCCCACCTCGTCAGTGTCAAGAACGATGCGCATGTCCTCGTCCTTGCCGATGCCAACCTGCCCGACATGAGGCTGTTCGGCGCAGTGAAACCCTGAGAAGGCGTGAAGCACAGCAAAACATCCTTGACATGCACGGCAAACCTTACAACTGCTGAAGAACTATCCTAACTGCTGTCAGGTTTGCCGTCTGTCAAGCGTGATGCACCTGGTAGCCCTGAAAACTGCGATTGGGATCCAAGTTCACCACGAAGAGCAGATCGCCTCGCTCGAAGGCCAAGACTTTGTCCATCCCATTGCAAATGGTCACGAATTCGTGTTCCGAGCTGAGCCATTTGAAGCGATTCTCCAAGGCTTGCATCAATTCATCGAAGTTTTGGAAATACTTGTAGCGCAAGGCCTCATCATCAGCCAAATCCCACCTTCGGCGACAGAAATGATGGCTCCAAGTATTCTCCGCACGCGGGAAATCGACCCACTCTGGATGGCCGAACTCATTGCCCATGAAGTTCAAATAACCTGCACCTCCAAACGCGAAAGAAACATGAAACAACTCCAAAACCTGCTTGCAACATCGAGAAATGTTGAAACACCACGTGAAACGCCATGAACACCTGAGAGAACTTTATGGCTCATACATGCTCAGGAGTCCGTTCCGCCCAGCACCTCCCAGTCCCAACACCAAGAGCCGCAGCACTTTGTGCAAGGCCAAACCGCGGTCAACCACGATGGAGGGCTCAGGACATTCAGCCAGACTCATTCCGTAATACATCTCCTCGTGGGGGGAAAACCCACTTTTTTCCGTCCCAGTGACAAATACGGCTGGCTTCAGTGACACAATGGGAACCCTCCTCCAAATACGATGACAAAATCAGAAGGAAACACATGAATCGAGAACAGTGAATGACTGCTAGTGGTGTCCTGATCCATTAACCAGAATGCGATTGTCTTGTCACCGACGATGGATTGATCATGTGACTCTGCATACGCAATGCACTTCTCTTTCCACCGTCGGTTGGTGAGGGTGTGACAAATGTAGCCCACGTCCCACAAATCATCTGGAACTTCTTTCAGCAGCTTGATCCACATGTCAGGAACTGCCATTGCCAACCGATAGTTGAAGCCAAACCCACCATCTTCGATTGGCAAGCAAAGCGTTGGCATGCCACTCACCTACACAAGATTTCAGGGGCTGAGATTGCTGCGAGTTGCAAAGGTCATTCGTTCCAATTTATGAAGGGTGGATTGAAGTAGTGGATGATTTCATTCCAATGCTGAGATTCACGTAGTTACGAGTAACCCAGTCTCCCTCAGATCCACTACAATTTCCACTTCTGAAACTTCTTTGGCCTCCTCTGCGACTGTGATTGCACTTGGCAGTGTGTGGTGAACCAACTCATTCGCCAGCATCAAGTAGATCTGACCTTCTAAGTCTGCATCGCCTCCAAAATAGTCATGATAGTTGCCGGAGAAGCCTTTTCCAATACCATGGGAGTGGTACAGCATGGAAGTGACACCATCAAATCGAAAGCCGTCGAAGCGAAACTCTTCCAACCAATACCTGATATTCGAGAGTAGGAACCGGAGAACTTCGTGTTTGGTGTAGTGAAAAAGCTTGGAGTCCCACTGGGAATGGTGTCCCTTTAGACCTCCATGAGTATAGCAGTGGTCTGTTCCATCCATCATGGCTATGCCATCCAAGGAATTGGAGGAGCAGTGAGCATGGACCAAATCCATGATGATCACCATGCCCAATCCATGTGCCTCAGTGGGATTCATGTCTCAAATGCCGCACAACTGGAATCACGTTTATGACGTTTTGTGATGTTCCAATAACGCCAGGCTCAGAAATCAAAGAGGCCATGCGCTGTTGACATTTGGACCCCCCGGCCTCATCCACCAGCCTCTTCAACTCTTCGGGCGTTCCACATCTGCTGGAGGGCGCAAAGTAGGAGGTCACATGGTAACCAAAGGATCCGTAGAAGGCATGTTCCGCCACGGCCATCAGCTGAATAGTGTTGTAGCCCATGCGCTTGATGCGGGGGATCACATCTTCTGCAAATTCCAAGTAGGTAGCCACTTTGGGCTCCTTTGAACTCATGCCAACATGTGCCTCATAGATCTTTGGAGATGCTGGCATCAATGGCCTGTTCAAGGTACCCACCGAGAATTCCAGAACCGCCCGTTCGTCCGAGCGCCCACACAAAAGCCACTGCGCTAAAAGGTGCTCCATTCTGAACCCAAATCAACACCAGTCCCAGCCTTTCATGTTTGAAGGTGTACCGCTCTCCCTGTGCGGGGTGCCACATGACGCCATTGAAGAGATTGGTATTTGGATCTTGCCAGGCCAAACGAGTCCAAGCAGGAACACGCTCGATCCATTGGTGGTCGTTCGTCTCGATTCCTCGGGGTTCTGACCAAACACGGTCAGAAAACAGGGTGGCAGGTGGCAAAAACACACGGCAAACGAAAAAAACACATCAAACGACAAGGTTCAAGCTCTCTGAACTGTTCACAACACTCTAGGCAAATGAAAGCCAAGAGACTCACTTTGACTTGGCATTTGTGAGGGATCGCTGGCTTGCCACCAACATCTTTGAGCTCTACAGCCCAACGTCCGAAGCCCTGATGCAAGCATCCCGACACTCACAAACATTTTGAGGGTACCATATGGCCAGTGACAATCCCCCATGTAATCGCCCTGGTCCACAAACCTACATTGGAGTTGTATATAAGCCAATATAATGTAACCTCAACCTAAGCACAGGGAATTGGCCAGGTGGTACGAAACAGGGCATCTTGACGAACAAAAGCACCCCTGCCTCAGAAGCCAAAGGTGTCGTGTTTTCCCACTTGTTGAAATCGCCAATGAGGAAGACTTGCTTGGCGTTGGGCACCCATTCGCGGTAAGTGATGCTGCCCTCCTGCTGGTACAGCTTTAAAAAAAGATCCAATAAGCAATACAGTACTTACAGTAGTCAAATCAATCTCCTTGTGGGTAAAGCCAAAGAGATTGCATCCATCGGCAAATTTGTAGATGCCGCCTTCGAGCTTGTGCAGCTCATCTTTCCACCACCTTTTAACTGCAGATCCACGACGATAGAGTCGGGAAATGTCACAAGCTGAATCAGCAAGCTGACATCCCGTTATCTCAAGCTTGCTGAGTCCAAGCGATCAATATCTATCAATCAATCGGCAAAAATGTTTTATACCGTATGAAACAATGGCATCACAGCAGCTTGAGATAAAAAGACTCGAAAACACATGTAGCAGTTGTACCCCCGGTATAAGAAGACGGGGGCGGCTAGTTCTATGGTCCAACTGGGCTATCATCTAAACTTGCCCGTTCCTCGTTGCAGAAATACTGCATGTTTGTGTCCCTTTTGTAGCATACAATCCCTAGAGCACCCCACGAAGTGGAAGGGCTGTTAGGGGCGTGACGTGGACGTGTCCGCAAGTTGGCGTGCGAGACAAAAAAGACTTCTTCGCGCCTGAATCCTTTCACACGTTCCCAAATGAGGTCTCCGACCGACTTCAAAGTGGGGTCAATATCGAAGACCTTCAAAGACATGTCGCAAGGTCAGCGTGTTCACCATTGCGGCCAGCACAAACGCAATACATCTGAGAGGTTCTGAGACGATGTTCTTTTCGGTGACAGGGTCACCACAAAAGTTAGGATTCTTTTCTGACCGACGTATGCCGTGTGAGTCAAGCCGTCAAATTGTCTTAAGCTCCGTACCTAAGATATACCTTTGGCATGCTCTCAGGGTTTGACTTACTGTGCCATCGACCGTGGTCTGAGAAGGTGTGGATGTTTGAATGCACACCCCAGCCTATACAGGTCTCCAAATGCCAGAACATGTGGCTTATCAATCCCACTCACATCATTTCTATGTGGACTCCTTCTCATTGTTGGCTTCAGCCAAACGGCTTCGAATGGGCAACTGCGACAGGTCATCCGCTTAACGACACGCTCAAATGCATGACTGTAGCATCATGACGCAAATATCGGGATCGTCCCTCTAACTCTAACTCTAACACTTTCACAAAGCAGGCACAGCGGCTTTGAACATTTTAGAACCGCCTTGACATGTTCGGCAGACAGCTCCTGTCCTGTCTGCACATTCATGTGTTGCATGGGCAACGCTTTACTTTAGATCTCATGATTGTCCGCAGCTCCCATTTGGAAAGCTTACTCTTCAACCCTGGATCGGTTTGACCATTCACTTGACATCCAGTGGAAGCATGGCGTGCTGCTCACCACTCGACCAGCTCGAGAAGGAACGTACCTGAAATTCGGTCAAAAGACATCTGATTTGTTGCACTGGAATGGAACATGATGGGACAATGTTGGATATGCTGTGACTCCCAGTGCAGCCCAACTGCTTCGTGATCCTTCAGCAGGTCCCAAACCATGCCTGCCCAACTCGCGACAAAACAAATATTCTGAAAAGAAGACTCCAATCCGGCCACCCAGCCTCCAAGCAATCTCAGTCGTTCAAACAAATCATCTCCAGAGGGCAAGCTGAAGTTCATGAACAGCCCAACTGCAAAGCATCAGCCCAGTCATCACTAGTACAGTGTACAGTAGTTGCACATTTGCAACTATAATCAACATTAATCAACTATATAGAAAGGTGCAGAAGGCAAAATGGCAGAATACTGACCATTTGTGCAAACAAGAAAGGGAAGAGGGGACGGGCAAGCAAACCCAGGATTCCACATGCCTGTGCGATGCAAATATCATCTGTGTGGCGCCACTTCAAGGGCATGCCAGAATCCGCTTGAAGAAAAGTGCAAGTTTACATCTCAGGAACCTATCTTGAGCAATCGTCCGCGTCAAGCTGGCCGGACCGCACCAGCTATCAAGCCTCACAGGAGTGGGACAGAAAGACCTCCATCTTCGCTTCTCCATGCTGAACTTATGGCCGTTGAGGACAAAAGAAAATGTTCCAACTCTTAGGATTAGCATGCAAGATGCCTGACAGCGCCAAGATTGGCCAGCTTTGAACACGAAGCGTCCAAAGCCAGATTTCCAATGCACAACCACCCCCCCCGGCGCTTGTGCAGTAGAAGCTGTGCTCATCTGTGCTCTTTATCACACCCAAGTGCCCCAAGATAGAATGATTTTGTGCCAATGGCCATACTATGGTCAGCTGAGGCTGTGGACACAAAGCGGGATGTACGTGACACAATCCCAATGCATCCGAAGCACAGGAACACCACCAGCAGCTAGCTTGCTTTTGTCTTGAGCGGACTTGTCTTCGCCTTTGGTGGCGCAGACGCACGAGAGACCTCGGATCACAGTGGATCACAGTGGATCTGGTGGCTAACGGCTCCGAAACGAAACACAAAGACCCGAGAGCACCTTTTGCCTTTCAACACTCCTTTCAACTATGCAAACTTCGAGAGAGAGAGGGAGAGAAAACGTTGCATCTTCACCTCCAAGCTATGCACAAACCCTCCTGGTGTGCATGAGCCCATTCGTGGCAGGTCATACCAGCGTGCCATTACTTTGAAGGCGCGGCTCCACTCTCATTCAAGCTCAATCCCATCAGCTGCGTAGCTCCGGCCACGTGACGTTCTCAGCCTTTGGGAAAGACAAGCTGAAAAGCAAGGACGTTCCGAAAGACTGTGGTACCGGCTGTGTTTTTCGCTACTAGGAGCAAGGGCATCGCTTCCAATAACAATTGGCATCGCTTATTGGTAGCAAGAAGCTAGTAGTAACAAGGTTCTCTTCTTTCTCCTTATCAGTAGCAAGAAGATAGTATTATAAATTATATAGTTGGATCATCCCTGGCAGCCCTGGCCAAGCAGCCAGCTCCTTGCACCCATGAGGCCAGCCACGGCGACGACGATGACACCACCTACCTCGGACGGTGAACACCGCTTCAGCGTGTTCGCCGTCAAGTGACCGAATTCGACGTGCCAAATGAACGTGCAAAGTCAATTTGACCGAGATTTTGCTGTGAGTTTCGCACAGTCAAGGCAATGAGCCACCCGTAGGAGGCAGGTGCCTCCATGGATGGGTTGGCTGCAACGAGCAAGGAGTTGCCACCTCCAAGCACCCAAAAGGACCCGCCAAAAAAGAACTTTCCAGGTGCAATGCTCTGACTCACTCCCTCCAAAAAAGGCTTTCTATTCTCACTGCTCTTGGTGCCCAGCCTGGTGCAAAAAGGCCAGTCTCTGTGGATGGCTCTCCCCCGTGCTTTTGGATGAAGCTCGCCAATGCCTTGACTCCAGCCTCGGCTAGAATGAACCAGAGCGAGAGAGAGGGAGAGAGAAAAGAAAGTAACAAAGGGAAGGACAGAAGAAAGGAAGGATCAAAACGAAAGGGTCAAGAGCTTCTGGCTTCTGCTTGAAATCCAACTCTTCCTATAAAAGAATTGTTCGGAACAGTGGGAAGCTCCGAGCGCATCTTGCACGCGGCTAGCTTCGACAAAGGGAACCAACTTTTTAGTCATGTTGCCCATTGCTCCTGCCCAACGTTCTGGATTTGTGTCGCTGGCAGGCAAAAGCTGTGACCTTCGAGCTCAATGGTCATGGTAGCGCGGATTCCTCAGGCGTCGAAAGTTAGGAATCCGAGATGTTGATCATTTTTATCATTGACGTGGAGCATGGAAGGGACCTCTTGAGAACTCTACGGCTACTGACTACGCTCCTTCTCTCTGATAATCTCTCCAAATAGCAGCCGTAGCTCATCGCTGATTACCAAACCTATAGATGTCCCTCCAAAACCACCAAGAAAAGAAAAACAACTTGTTTTTCCTCCCACATGTTGATACAAATATATGCAGCGCACTCTGCCAACTTCATCTGAGAAGCCAAGAAGTCCATAGGCCCAGTCGGGACCAGTGCCCGGGTCTGGGGGAAACACATCAGCTCCTGCAAAACGAAGACATCAGCTCCTAAGCTGCTCACTACAGTCCCAGCCTTCCACAAGAAGCGCTGTCCAAGTCCTGCATGGAAGGTACGCCCTGAGGTGTTGAAGAACGCCCGATTCAAAGACTTGGTCATCTCCGTCTGGTAGACACCATCCGGTCCGCTGGGGGTCTCCGCAGTGTAGGCCCATGGCGGTAGCATTGCCTGGGCGAATGGCCAAAACTGACGCCTGAAATGAACTGAACTAGCCCACGTGACTCTTTGAAACACGTCCCTGCTAAAGACCGGCGTAAACAGTGAGACCTCAAAAACGCAATAACAAGACATTATCCCGGCAGATGCCCCAAACAGCATGTTTGAAGTCTAGAGGTGTAGCAGCTGCCACGGAATTTGCTCTTGAAGGTCCACAAAACACGGTGCCCGCCAGGAAATCTGCACTTCAAGGCCCACGAAGTACTGCACCTGCCACGATATCTGAAAACGAGCCACATGTCCAAAAGTCACGATGGAGCATGCCGAAGACCACCACCATGTCCAAAGCACTACGCCTGCCACAACATCTGCACTGCTCCGACATCCAACTGCTCCGATCTCCGATCTCGGTCGACTTTAGACCGCCACATCTCACGAGGCTCCTTCCCTTGCGCCTGCCACGAAAAGTGATGACCAAGTCCTGCGCAGCCAACACGCCCAGATCAGAGAGAGCACCCTGATCGAACCCGGGCTCTTACACTTACCGTAGGAACCCCTCAGTGTGGACACACTGCTTGGGGAATGCGAATCAGCCTCCTGAAATGTGGCAACAACATGCAAAGCTTTTCAACAGCGTACAGCATCTTGTGGAAAGAATGGTGTCATTTCGTGTCGGCCGTTTTTCCTGGCCTCAGCATAAGAATGGTAGTCAATGAAGGCAGCTACATAACCAGGACCCGCGGTCTCGGATTTCAACTGCAAGCTTTTCTCTTGCCTTTGCTTCATGTAATCAGACGCCGCCTGCCAATTCATTGGAACATGAGCTTTGCACCAAATGAAGCTAAGAGTGGCGTTAGGATATCAAAATCCTCCCACCTTCGTCTCTGGTTCAGAAAACGGTTTGGGGCCAATGAAGACGGAGGAGCATGGATCGTGCAAAAGTGACTCCTTGGTCACGGGTGTGGCGCCATGCAGAACCCTCCAACATTGGAAGAATGCTGAACGGCCATGGCGGCCATGGCCTCTAACCTACTCATGAAGCGGCATGAAAGCCCTTTGACGTGGGTGACATGCCGCTTAACTCCTCATGCTGCTACGCTTCATAGGATTTGTCCGCCGTCTTGCCGAAAGTAAAGCCCCAGTTGCGGTTGGCATCGACACCCGCCACCTTCCCATCGCATTGCAGGTTGGGGCGATCACTCCGCGTCTTGCGCCACATACGGTCGACCTCCCAGGTGTAGACGTAACCATCGGGGTTCACCGGGACGAGCAAGGTGAAGACGAAGTGCTTCAGCAGCAACTGCACGTCACTCTTCTCAGCTTCGCGCAGCAATGAACCTGAAACAAACAACGTTCGAATCGCTTACTCAAGGTGCGAGCGTGCTCAAGGTACTGAAGAAACAAAGCTGAAAGTCGCTGGAAAGCGCCTGCTATGTAAAGTACCGTGGAAGTGGCAATCCATTCTCGTGAATGAATGCCACCCTCAAGGAAAATGCACGGCTTCTCTGCCGAATTTCCATCTTTGGTAATTTCCAAGACCTCATCTATTCCAGTGAAAGGTCAGCGTACGCACCGGCGGCAAGAACATCAAATTTCTTCAGGGATTCAGTCTGTTATAGATGCGTGCGGACCCACAGCAGTTCACTCAGGCTGCAGCCCGTAACGGCCTCCCCTCCCAGGAATGGCCGATCTCACGCACAGTCACCAACTTAGGATGCCGCTGGGCCAACAGGTCGAGGTACCCTCAGCTCAACATGACGCAATCAATAGCAATGCCTCCTGAAGCCTCCCACACACGAAAAGAAAGCTGCACAGCTGCGGCGATTGCGCATGAGGCAGCCAAAATGCGATTTATATCATCGAGAGTTCGGTAGTCCTGGAAGAACTGAGCCATCTCTCCTGGGCGTGTCCCTTCTTGACACGCAACACACCAAATCTCTCGGAAGGCAACATCCTACCACGGAATGTCCACAGCTGAAATCGGATCGTCTCCTGACCATGGAATCGGTGGAGGCCTGGCCGTCTGCGACGGAAAGTAGCAATCATTTCCAATCCAAGGAGTGCCGGCGAAGAGCCGCCGGGCACCCGCCATGGTTCCACCGGGCACCCGGGGTCTGCAACAACCCGGGCGTCGGGCGTCGGGCGGCGGCGTTTGGGCGGCAAATGCACAAAATGATCCAAGCAGAATCCAATCACGGGCATCTCATCAACTCTTGACAAGTTATGAGATCTTATAGATCTCACTGCAAAGGTTTAAATGCACCAGCAATGATCGACTCCCATCTAGGACTGACTCAATACATATTCTAAAACTAGCCACAAGGAAAAAACAAATACGTTTGGAGTTTGGACGTCGTTTTGTTGAGCACACGGCCAACCACACACCCACCATCACTGGCAAGCCGCCGAGCATGTTCCACTGTGGTGGCCTCAGAGAGATATCCTTTGAGCCTACACGCGAAGACAGGCCGAGTGCTGGGGGCACGTCATCGGGGCTGGAGTAGTAGCTTCTTGCTCCTAGTAGCGATGCCAGGAGCTACTAGTAGCGTCCTTGCTCCTAGTAGTAAGGCCAGGAGCTAGTAGTAGCTTCTTACGACTGCTTAGAGACTCGAATTCTTGGGTTCAAGTCGAACACTCGGCATTCGAACACCTTTCAGCCGAGGTCACCAGCAGGAGTGTATCGCGTAGACTTGGCGCAACCTGCTTAGCTTTGATCTCTCGACTTACGCTGGCTTGGCCCCCCCTCTCGAACCAGTTTTCCCAGCAAAAAGGCGACTGGCCAGAATTGTGCAGAGCTGGCCACTGGCCTCCTTTCTGTCTTCTCTTGTTGCTCGAGTCGCCCAAGACTCCGACGCTTCGCAAGATCCAGGACAGAGAGGCGCTTGCCAGAGGTTGCAGCACCTGGCTGAACACCAAGCACCTCAAATATTCCCCACCATACTTTCCCGGTTTCTGATAGTTCATGTATGTTCATGTCTACATGTTTCAGATGCTTCCCAGCAAGCCTTTGGAACCGAACCCTCTGTTGAGAGCTTCCATCCCGCACCCAACATCAGCTAAGCAATTTCCACCTTCACCGCAACCAACTTCTTGGAGCGTAATCCAACACCACAAACAATTATCAACCAAGGCACCGAGAACATCGCAATCATGGTGGGCTCTGCATGCTTGGCCGACCAGGTCATTAGGCTTTGGCCTTCCGTCTCTTGACAAGAGTTTCTCCGGAAGGGCATCCAAAACACTGCAACATACAGCAACATGGTTCAACAAAGTGCTTCCCAGACAACACACAAGGCTGGAAGTCTTGGCTCTGAGCACAGCATGGTGGGCACAACCTCGCAGACGTCCAAGTGCCCAGCCCCAAAGTCCACAGCTCTTGAGCTCCGAGCAGTGTAAAACGCCAGTGCCTTTGGCATTTCAGGAGGTGCAAAAAGAAAACACAAGAACTCACCAGAAGCGCTTCCACGAGATGTTTAGCTTGTCTAACTCTTTTGGGAAGTATCACAACTCAATTGGCAGTTCAATTGGCCCACTTTCTCCTTAATGTGAACCTCTCGCTCTGGTCCGAACGCCACCAGGCCAAAAATCCTCCTTGGGAGGAGCGTCCGAATTTCCAGCAAGTCCAGCTTCGCTGCTCGCTGCAAACTCCGCAGAAAGGGTCGGCACGGCAGCATGGAGGCACCGAATCACGTTCTCCGAAGAGATCAGGAAGCCTTTTGCAGAGCCAGGAAGAGGTTCTGTTCCTGCTGAGCCTTTTCTTTTTAGGTCTTCTGATTTCTCACGTGCTCAATGTTATGCTTAAGCATGACATGGGCAAAGGCAAAAGATGCAAAAGGGTAACGATGACGACTCATGCAAAAGTCCCATAACGATATTAAGATCCCCTGCCCAAGCAGGATGTAAAGGCCACTTCTCCGACAAAGCTGAAACTGACCCAGCTTCGGAAGAGTGGTCTCACAGCTTGGGGAGGAGCCACCAAAAAGTGTCAGTGAGGAGGAAGATGGCCCATCTGCTCTAGATGTTTTTGATTCTTGACATGTCTTTTATCCCCAAAAGGAGCAAGAAGCGCTACTCGGAACAAGAAGCTACTAGTTACTAGAAACGGTCTGGGCTTCTCCAGACTCTCTCACACCTGAAGGTCACTTCTACCAGACAGTTCTTTGCGGTGCTCTCATGGCCGAAGAGATCGAAGAGTCGGGGAGGACTTTGATCGTCGCCCCAGGTCTCCTCCAGCTTTCAGGCCCACATGCTGCAGTGATCATAATGCTCTAGGCTCATCTAGGCTCTAGGATTTTAAGCATCATCTATGTGGTACTCTTCTATATTGCTATTAGGTTGGAGGCCATCGCTTCTAGGTTGGAGACCGTTGCTATTATATAGGTTTAACTGCTAAGCGTTTTGAGCCTGGGGGGGCATGGCTTCATTCCAACTGACTCGACTTCGGCTTTCTGGAATCCTCCTGGGTATAGGAGCTTTTTCATGTGATTCCCTCCAACCATTGACCTCATCTTCTTCAAATATGCATCCTGGCAGCAACAAATTGTGCGGACTGCAGGAGTAGGAGGAAATGCTTGTTGCTAAGAACACTGTGGTTTGGCTTCAGTCCTCCTCGTCCCGGAGCCGCTTTTCATCAAAACGTTGCTTCAGGTCACCAGTGAAGACATCGTATTCTTTGGTATACATTGCAAAGGAATGAGTCCTGAAACGAAGAGGTGGCCGTGAGCTTAGAGTCTAGAGATGGAAAGAGGCGGACAGGTCGGCAAGAAGTTTGAAAGAGATTGGCCAAATTGATCAAAGCCACTGGCTGGTCTTTGTGGCTATGTCCAGGCGATTGTACACAACCTGGTGTGCCAATCTCATGAATCTACATGCTGAGTTCTACATCTTAATCATGTTGCGCCTTGTTGCTGAGGTTCCATGGCGGCTCTAGGGTGAGTGTCTCACCTCCCCTTGCCAACGGGCTCCGGTGGTTGGGGCTACCGCGCTCCAGAGGATCACCTTGCACAGGCGCTTGCTCCGCTTCTTTGGAAACTCCTGGGGGAACATCTCAGAAGCACGACCTTCACTCAGAAAATGACACGAACTAACAACGAAGCAAAGAGTAAGAAGAATTCATCTGTTGACAGTTGTTTAGTTAGTTGCTTGTGCAAAACATGTTTTAAGCGGCCTAAGTCATGTGAAGATTGTGAAGATGGCGCTCCTCTTCGATGCCTCAGCGCCGTGGGGCCCGTGAGGCGGGGATTCTTCGGCGCCATCTTCAGGGCGAAGGTCGAGGAGCGCGACATTCGCATCACATCCCGGTCCTAGCGATCGGACGCGACGAACGAGGCTCCTGGCATCGCTACTAGGAGCAAGGAAGCTACTAGGGGCTCCTGGCCGTACTACTAGGAGCAAGAAGCTACTAGGAGCAAAGGGCATCGCTACGAACGGAGCGATCGGACGCTGCTAGGGGCTCCTCAGCGTCTCCATGTAGACTCAGCATACCAGGCGAGACCCAGGTCCTGGCGTGAAATCGTCTCCAGGCAGATACAAGTCTATAGTCGACAAAGTCAAGAACATTTCGAGGATTGTAGGGCGCTGTCGGATTGAGACTCTGGCGTGTTCAACTCTGTTTTGCAAAAGCGGGCTGGCAAAGTCTCTGCTTTGAGTTTCTGCCTCAGAACCGAATCCGAAGCAGGACAACCGATTGCTTGTGGCATCTATTCACTACTTGGCAGAAGGTTGATGCCCATCTGGGAGCACAAATGGAGGCTTTCCCAGACGGACTCTCTCTCGGACTCTCTCTCTCTCTCTCTCTCTGCGGCTAATGGTTAGGTACGGTGCTTCTCTGTATGTCATACTTATCCTGGCTTCATGTCAGGTCTTCGGTCTTCCCTCGTTGTCATTGTTGCAAAGTAACTCAAGAAGCTGTTGGCGGTGTCGCTTCATCCTGAGGTTTTACGGATCCGACACGGAAAAAAGCCACGGGGATCGACATATCGCGCTGAGTCATTCAATCTCATTCAAAAAGCTACTGCGACTGTGGCTCTTGGCTTCTTCTTCCCTTCTTTCATTGGCCCTTTTCTGCCTCCAAAAAAGGAAATCAGTGTCCCAAAGCTTGGACTTTCGACTGTCAATGAAGTGCATGACCTGCCACCAAGCAGCATAGTGCTCAAATGTCCTGCCATTCGAGCGCGGCGCATTCGCACCCCCTTTTTGCCCTCCGAAAAGGATGACATCATCTCGCCGTCCACCATGCTCCTGTGACAACGTCCGGTGCGGCACGGCGTCGCAAAAGCGAAGAGCGCCGCGCCTGGTGGGCGACATCGGCTCTTCAACTGGGATCGAAAAGCGCTGGGCCAAGCGTCGACGAACCACACCATGCTGCTCTCTTTTCAAAAATCAAACCGCAAACCCTTTTTGCCTGCCCGTTTGGTTTGGTCAACCCCAAACAAAAAGAACAGCACGAAAGGAGCTCTTTGAAACCAGTGACGGTCATCTTCAAGATCGTCACCAGCAAAGCTTCCTGCGGGAGGAGCGGTAACGATTTGCCAGCTAAACGAGGACAAAGTAAAAGTTGCTGTGACTTCCCTGCCCAGCCGTCCCACAACTCTCAAAGGTCCTCTTCTTGCGGCTGCCGACCGAGGACTGTCGAAGTCAAATTCTCGGTGCAACAGGCGAAGTCAAACTCACAAACTCCGAAGCAAAGGTCACACCACTTGCCAGCCAATTCCACACTCAGTGCATTTGCGTGCGCGTTTGCGCGCGACTCTTGCCGTCCAGCCACCAGGGACGCTTTCTATAAGCTCCATGTCCAGCTCCGGGCCCGTCCTTAGGCTGTGTGGCAAATGGTGAAGGATACGCAGACATCGCTACTAGGGGCTCCTGGCATCGCTACTAGGAGCAATCGTGCTACTAGTAACGAGAAGCTACTAGGAACAAGGGCATCGCTACTAGTAACTTCTTGCTGCAGTAGCGATGCACTTGCTACGAGTAGCTTCTTGTTACTCGACTCATGTGCCTTGGACCCAACGTCAACCAGGAAGGGCCACTGCCAATGGCCACCAGCGCCCTGTTATAGACCATGATGTCCACTTGGGTCTGCCGAAAGCACCAAGCGGCTCAGGAGCTTCTTCTTCACCACTGATGTGGGCCATTTCTGAGATGTGACGATCTAGCATCGCCATACCCTGCGTACTCAGAGGAAGGTAGCCTCAGGTTGAAATACGACAAACGCTGCTATGGAATCAAATGGTCATATTACATTCATGTACATCAATAGAGACGACGTGTGAATGCACACCTCATCTTCTTTATGTTGATGTTTCGGTCAAGGTTAGCCTTTTGTTTTGTAGAACGTGGACCTCTGGCAACTGCACCACAGCTTTTCTTTTGATGTGAGACAAGTCACGGTCCACACCTCAGCTGTGACTTGGAGGCATGTCAGAATCTTGCACACACTCCCGAGTCTTCTGATTTTCTCCAAGGCACTCAGCTCGGTGGGGACCAAATCCTTCTTCGATTGCGGGGACAATGACACCTTTGGCTCATGTCACAATGTCTTATCAACCAAACTTCAAGAACCCCACGCCATCATGAGCTATGCCGGCTATGCCTCAAAAATTTGACATCAAACATCAAGTCCAAAAAATAGAAAGAGTTCCTCCACCCACTGCTGCGCTGCTGTTGAGATCCATGTTGCACCAAGTGGCCGAGGCCGACAACCAGTTGCTCTTGCCATCACGTCGGTCCGCACGGGCTTGCAGCACATGCTCTAGTTGGATCTCATCCGGACGTGGGGCATCCAGGTGGCCAAACCTCAGAGATCCAGGTGACCGCACGCCGGGCCCACGGAAAGTCAAAGAGTGGGAAAGGAACCCACGAGAAAATCATGGGCCCATCAGTACTTTGAAAAAAAATCTAAATGAGGCATGTGAAACACTGGAGCGACACATACACAAAGTTCGGGCTACACTGGACCAAGCTCAGGGATTGATTTGACTCGTGCAACAGTTTCAACCGTTTCTACGACATTTGCTGACGCGGTGGTGGTCGCAGTGTTGTGCGCAGTGCATCGCTCTGACGAAAACCGCCGAGTTGCTTCAATGGTCGAGTGTGATAATTTTGCTGCTCAAGCTCCGCCTGCCTGGACAATCCATGTTCTCACTTCCAGGTCTGCTTGGGTCCAAGAACTTCACTCGACATCTACCTTTTCAATCTATATATAATATATGTACAGTTCTGAACATGTAGGAGAATGATTCCTTCCCTGACATTCCCTGCCTCCTCTGCCCAGCCAAAAAGTCTGTCTGGTTGACATGGGGGCTATCCACCACCCTCCGCAAGAAGAGGTTCGACCGCAGCTTCCGAGCGGTGTCCAAGTTGATTTGAAAGCCCATCCTGACAGCATCAGCGGTGAATTCCTCTCATCCAACATATGGAGGTATCTTTAGGGCCTTAGGGAAGGCATGGAGGGGTAGGCCATGGAAGTTACCACCATGCGAGGACGAAAAGGGCAAGGCCGGTTCTTCAAGGACAGGGCTAGGCCGGTCTAAGCCTCTTTTTGAAGAAATGGTCGCATGCAGCAAAGAAAACAGCTCCGAGACCTTGAGGGACATGCACCTGAAAAAACGTCAAGAATCATTTCGAAGTGGACCAGCAGCATGATGTTGTTGATGAAGTTGTTCGAGTAATTGAGCACCACATGCCGATCCTCTGGGAAACCGTCGAAGTACATGCGGAAAATCACCTGAAGGGGGACAGCATTGGACAGGGCGCACTGGAAACACGACCTGCCGAGTCTGAAGCGGTCCCTGCCTGCGAAAAGATAAAGGGCACACTGGACAAAACCCACTGTCGGGTGGGAAGGTCATGAAACAGGCCATCATGCGCATCCCCAACCTCAGGGCAAATCCGCAGCTCGGGCGAACTCACACGCATGGATGATGTGCTTGATTGAGACACGCTACACTTCGCCCTTATCCGGTGGCTTCAGGAAAAGTCTCCAACCGTAAATCCGTAAAGCACCCATCTTATCTGGCCATGCCTTCTGCAAACTCAGTTGTGGGAAACCTTACCTGCCTCTTCTCTTCTCTTCTCTTCTCTTCTCTTCTCTTCTCTTCTCTTCTCTCTCTCTCTCTCTCTCTGTCTTTCTTTCTTTCTTTCTTTCGTTCTTTCGTTCTTTCGTTCTTTCGTTCTTTCGTTCTTTCTTTCTTTCTTTCTTTCTTTCTTTCTCTTTCTCTTTCTTTCTTTCTTTCTTTCTTTCTTTCTTTCTTTCTTTCTCTCTCTCTCATATTTCAGTCTGCTAGCCTTCGGAGGTCATTGGTGGGTCACATTTCTGTCACCATCTCTCCCTCCCTGTCGGTAGGTTGATGGACGGTGGTGGAAACCAACCTCTTTCAATGAAAAACACGGCCTTTGAACATCTTGGTTGTGGACGCCATTAGGTTGGAGGCCATACGCTTTTTGGTTGGAGGCCATATGCTATTAGGTTGGAGGCAATACGCTATTAGGTTGGAGGCCATACTATTAGGTTGGATACCACACGCTATTAGGTTGGAGGCCATACGCTATTAGGTTGGAGGCCATACACCATTAGGTTGGAGTCCAACGGTTGGAGGCCATACGCTATTGGGTTGGAGGCCATACGCTATAAGGTTGGAGGCCATACGCT